AGACGTATGAAAAAATTTCTTTTTGACGCGTTGACATCATTCCGTTAGTTTTAGTATCCTGAAACCAAAAAACCTAAGAAATTATTAAATTATAAGAGTTAAATTATTAAGTATTAAATTATTAAATATTAAATTATAAGAGTACACTATTACTGGAACTAGAATATAAGGAAAAAACCGAAAATTGTTGGAACGGTAATGTTTTGAAAAATGGTATTGATTTTCACCCATAAACTTGTTTCGTTTTTTTTTTATATAAAATGGAATAATCGTAAATTAAATTCCAGTAATAAAAGAACATATACTAAATAGACATGCAAAAATTCAAGTCGCTCGAACGCTTAGTTCTCGAGATATGTCAACGCGGTTGATAAATGCTGTTTTGAGAAAAATGCGTTTAAAGTTTCAACTACACATTTACAATATTACGATTTACAATAGTAAACAATGAATAACTCAGTTTTACATTATTTCTGTGAACGGCTTTGGTAATATATTTTCAAAACTATCAACTTTCCGAAAATGCAATAAAAGAAAAATCAATTTTTTTGACAAACCAGAATACCCTTTTAATCGCTTGCATTATTTATTTACTCGTCAGAGTTTCAGGATAAACCATGCAATCCTTATGTGCTTGCATCACGTAATTCATTTTTAAACACACGTCAATAGAGTAAAATAAGGAAGGAGCAAAAGAGAAAGAGAATGAAAAGGAGGGAGAGAGATTATATTGCGACACGCGCTAGCGTGCTAATGCATCATCGTGATTAGAGTTAGCTCGAGGAATCTTTCTGTGTCTTTGACCACAACGTAAACAATGCGGCAATGTGTATTTATATACGCCTCGTCTCGTCTCGTCTCGTCTCGCCTTAGTACATACATCAACTCGGTGCAACGCAATGTACACGGTGTCCCGTTATTGTATCGCATTCAATCTTAACCGTTGAAAGGAAAGATTAGCTTGTCAGAAGCCTGTCGTTTTCTAATTTTGTAAAATTACTATCGTGAAATGTCAGTGAGTTTTATTAGCTTCATTGAGTCTGAACATTAAAGTACACGGAAAGGACGATTTTGCTGAAGTATCTAAAAATTTAGCTAGATACAGATTGAAAATAATTTTAGAACAAAATAATTACGTAGGATCTCAACCATAATGAACAATACCGCAAAAAGTTTTCATATTCTATTTGTAGAATATCCTATAACATAATATAATTATTTTGATGGTCTAACAAAATTATTTTCAGATCTGTATTCAGCTAAATTT